ACTTGGAGCTGAGCTAGCTGCACCCTCCACAACTAAGATTGAAGGACAACAACTTGGCTGTTCCCCTTCCCCAATTCCCCAACACTGTTCCCCTTCAAAAAAAAAAAAAGACAGGTGCTGTTTATATGATGGAAGCGGTCAATGGGAAATGGAGCCTCTGAGACTAGGGAAGGTGGTCTCACTGCAGGCTTGCTCCAAGTGGGGGCAGCTCAGTGACTACCCCTCCCCCACCACTGCCTGCTGGCAGCTTTTACTCATTATGCAATTTTTCTTTTGAAAACTGGCAAGGAAACCTCCAGAAGAAAAACAATTGATTATTAAAGGTTATTTGAAGGTTTAGAGACTCATGATAAAGTAGTTATAATTACTCCTGTTATGACACATCCTTTTAAATGCTCAGATCTGAGAACATTTTGTTTGCATTGATTCAGTCCTCCTCATCACAGGGAGAAAAGCAAAGAGCTGGAAATAGCTCTTGTGCAGCTACAGGTAAGGAGTCACAAGGAAGAGAACAAACTGAAAACGAAGTCAGTGAAAGAAGCAGGGAGCAATGGATGCTTGTACTCTGCCAGCAGCCCTGCAGCTTGCCCCACCCCTGCCCACTGCCCCTCCTCAAAGCAGCTTCTGCTGCCAGAAGGGTGCTTTGGGCCAAAACATAACTTGTCGCACAATTACACGCCAGCTAGTAGTTCTTCTCTAGTTAAATGCACATCTATGAAAAATAGCCCCGACAGAATGTGAAAGAAAGAAATTCAGGATATGACCATTTGTTTCTGCTTTTCATAGTAACAGTAACTAGCATTTATTGAGCATTTTCTCTGTGTCAGGCACTGCTCAAAATGCTATTATCTCATTTAATTCTCAAAAAATTTCATGGGGGGTGGGGGGGTGTATGATTACTATTCTCACTTAATAGATCAGGGAACTAAAGCATATATCGGAGACAGTTATACTTAGTATGTGGTAAAGCCAATATTTAAACCCAGTCAGGGTGACCCTGGAGTCCCCAGCATGCTGCTCCCTGTTATGGTTTCCAGGCCTACTCCTGGGCTGGTAAACAGCCCAGCAAGATGGAGGCAGAGAGTGGGGGGCTGGTCAGGAAGGCATTTTTCTTATGAATCGCATAAGACACTAAACGTTGTGCATGATTTGTTTTCTTTTTTTTTTCTTTCTCTCTCTAACGGTTCACTTGACTGCTTCATTTCCCTCCCTTTGCCTGTCCCCTGCTGCCACTTTGTTTCTGTTCATTCAAGTATCTACCGGTATTGTACCTAGCACTTCCAGGTTCTGTGGCTGAGTCCAAGGAAAATCAGATACAGTGTCCACCCTTGAAAAACGTCTAAGTAGGTGGGGAGAGGGAGGGGATTCCAAAATAAATTCAACAAACTCCAATACCAGGCAGAGCTTGCTCTAATGGAGGTACAAAAGTCCTGGAGAGAGGTTCACAGGGGAGGAAGGCCTCCCAGCAGTGCTGACAATTCAGGTGGCCCTGGCGGATGCGGGGCTCCAACAGGCTGAGTGGGAGGATTGCCCCCAGAAGGACCCACCAGCCCAGAGATCTTTCTGCAGCGATTGCTCAGAAGACTCCAGCTGCTTTGTTTCCTTCAGTTCCAGATTCCATCCCCAGCCACCCAGCCTCAAGATGGTGACAATATTGCTGCTGGTCTCAGCACTGGCTGGCCTCTTCAGCGCGGCAGAGGGACAAGACCTCAGATTCGGGAAGTGCCCGACTCCTCCTGTGCAGGAGGATTTTGACTTGACTAAGGTGTGGTAAAACGCTAACCTTCCACTTGTTCTCCTGTCTCTTCTTTGAATAAGCACCCTAAAAGGCTCGGCTTTATTATTCTGGTTTGATGGCCACAGCATATCCGGGGGTAGGTGCTTACCTTATAAGCGGTTCTCTCAAAGCAGACTCTGAGGCAAGAACCGGGAGCAGGGCATTTCTGGAAGATGGCCTCAGGAAGCACAGGTGAGCATGTGGGGAAAGTGAGACAGGGAAGGTAGGAAGCAATGAAAGGTGCATTCAGGAGCCGGTTACTCTTTGAACACAATGGGATTCAATCTTGCTGGGGATCCTTTGGGGAAATGTGTGGACTGCGCCCAGATTATCCCACAGACGTTTGCATGTGGGCTGTGGGAGCTCCCACAGCAAAACTGTCTGGCCGAGGAGACACAGGTACAGTCTGTGTGGGAATTGTCCGCTGTGGCTGAGGCAAACCCAGAGGTGGGCTGAGAGGACATGGCTCCAGCATCAACAGCAGCTGCTGCAGTAATCTTATCCCCATTCAGCTACAGATGAAGAAGCTGAATGTCAGAGAGCTTATAAACCCCTGAGTCACAAAGCTAGTAAATGCAGACTGGGATTCAAAACTAGGCCTCCTACTAGTGCAGGACACCCAAGGATTGCTCAAACAGGGCCTAGGAGAGGACACAACTCCCCAAGGGGCTTTCATATCACCTGCACTAAAGAGATATCAGATAACCAGCTCCTCCCATCTATGGCTTTTCTTCCTTAGATGAGGCCCAGCCTTACTGGATATTTGTATGGCCAAAGGGCTGGCGCAGCAGAAAGAGGTAGCTATTGGAGGACATGACTTAAAGCGCCCATTGCTGCTAACTCATGCCAAGGATTTCTCTGTTAAGACATCTTCTTAGTAGCAGATCTGGATCTCTTTTAAGAAGCAACCCACTTGTTATGAGTAACAGTGAACTTGTTATCAGTCACTCACACCTCAGTGTGAATGAATGTTGTGATCGCTTAGGGGATGGGTTAGATAGAGGAGTGAGGCAGGAGAGCTCAAAGCCTGAGAGGGATGGAGAAGCAGCACCATCAATAGAGAATTCAAACAGGAAGGTACCAAGGGGAGAAAATAGTACACTGAAGTTTACATTGACTAACCCCATTCATTATGAAGGGCTGATCCTTTTGTTCAGGTAACCCTGCTGCTCCACAGGTGGCTTTATAGAAAAAATCAAGGGAATCTGAGTAACACTTCAACTTTGTGATAAAAATCCCAAGACACTTTGGAAATTATAATTGATCTGTATTTACAAAAGTCCTTTGAGGAATAAAGCAGGATATTTAAAATAACAGTTTTATTGAGATATAATCCATATACTATATACTTTACCTGTGTAAAGTGGTTTTCACTTTCAGTGGTTTTTAGTATATTCACAGTTATAAAACCACCACCACAATCAATTTTAGAACATTTTCATCACTGAAAAAAAAAAACCCCATACCCATTAAAAGTCATTTCCCATTTCCCCCAATCCTCTCTGCTCCAGGTAACCAATAATCTACTTTCTGTCTCTATGAATTTGCCTATTCTGGACATTTCATAGAAATGGAATCNCAGACAAAATATGTCATGACTTTTCTGACAACCCAGTAGCATAGCAAACTCCACAAGGGCAAGTATTTTATCTCGTACGTGGAATCTTCCTGGTGACTAGCAAAATGCTTGGTCCTTGGGAAGGACCCAATAAACATTTATTAAATTAATAAATGATTGATTTATGAGATCAGGTTAAAGATTTAGGCCTGGGGATGGGGAAGACAGAAGGAAGTCTAAGGGGATTAGTGAGAAAAAAACAAGAGAATCTTAGTAAGTCTCAACAAGAGAATCACTGGCTCAACAAAGTTCCTTTAACCCAAGACCCAGATCCAAATGCAGCTCCCACTAAGATTGTGGCACATGGTGTGAACTTAGTGACACTTGAATCTTCTCATATCAAATTAGATGGTGACCTGAGTTAAGGCATTGCCACTGGGGAAAGAGAGAGGGGATAAAATAAAAATTTAGAGAGCTAGATAGACAAATTGGAAAACTGAAAATATGCGAGTGTTGAAGAAAAGTGACTCAAAGGTGAAAATAATATAGAGACAATACTTCACAGGACTGCAGTAAGGAGTAGAAGAATTAACACAGAGAGTTCCTAGAATAGAATTTGAGTGCCATTGGGTAGGTACTGAATAGAAGCAGCTTTTCTCCTCCCCTCTCCCCCTTCTCCATTTTCATAAAAAGTAGTACTGTCCCCCTTGGAAACCTCAGAATGCCCACTCCAAGGAGGCTCTACCACTGGTATTTATTTGAATCTCACAATTAAAGGTCATGGATACACCCCTGCCTCTACTGGTCCCCACTGAACAGATAGAAATAAAACTGTCTTCTCTCCAGGGCTGCATTAGAAAAACCCCGAAAGCCATCCTCTCTTACTCAGAATGTTTTCTTTGTTTCTCAGAGACAGAACCAACATCTCCATGAGGGACAAAGGGGCAGCCTAACTCAAACCAAGCAGACGCTATGGGCTGGGTGATGGCTGCACAGTGGTAGCTGGGGCTGCAGCACCTGAGATTTCAATACTGTGGCATACATTTTGACAGCATGTGGGAGACCTTTTTAAAAACTAAACACAGGTATTTCTAAACGTCAGGTTCACATTTGGCCTCAGACCTCTCCAAACACACTCATGCTGAGCTCTCCTGGGATGCCTTCAGGGCCCTTTGGGGAACTGGGAAAGACCAGACACGAGTCTGGCCACATTTCTGATTTTTTTCCCCACAAATATTTTCATCCTCTCATTTATTCAACAAACATTTACCAAACTCTTACGTTGTGCAGCAGATGTCTCAGTTTGATGGATAATAGTGATTATAGACTAAATGGTTGGATTCATCTCCTCTGCTTTTCAGGTAGCCTTTTTCAAAGAGGGAATGAGTGAGTCATTGGTGTCACCTTTCTCTGCAGAGGTTATAAGGTACTTAATCTGAATGACTGCAATAGCTTCTCAGCTGATCCTCTGTAATCACTCTACAATCCATTCTTTTTTTTTTTTTTTTTAGCTGAGCCATCCTGCCACCTGTTGGCAGCTCAGTGGCAGCTCAGCTCGGGCCGGGCATCGAACCGCTGTTGCTCAGAGCTCAAACTCTTGAGCGAGCTCTCAAGCAACTGAGCCACTCGGCCGGCCTTTACAATCCATTCTTGATAGGGCGTCATTATTAGGAGAAAAAGTGCACTCCAAAGAGTTTGGAGTGGGCCGAGCAAAAGAAGGAGCTCAAAAGGCGCTGGCTGGCCAGGACGTGGAGTTTTTATCCTTTTTTTCCCCAGAATGGGCTGTTCCTCTGACAAGAGGCTATTACCTCATCTTTTTAGACTGTACAAGTTCCTTCCCAGAGTTCAATCTGTTATAATGATATTAATGAACTTCCAGGCATATGTATGATGGTATAACAAGGCCCAGGTGAAATGAAGGGCGCTGTGGCCTTTTTTCTCTTTTAAAGATTTTATTGAGGAATTATGGAAGTGGAATAGCCAAATTGTTGTCCTTCAGTCTTAGTTGTGGAGGGCACATCTAGCTCAGCTCCAAGTCCAGTCGCCATCCGGCCACCTGTCAGCAGTTCACGGACACTCAGCTCAAGGTGCCATGTTCAATCTTAGTTGCAGGTGGGCATAGCCCACCATCCCATGCGGGAGTCGAACAGGAAATCTTGTTACTAAGAGCGTTCACTCTAATCACTGAGCAATCCAGCTGCCTGTTGGCAGCTCAGGGCACCTCAGCTCTAGGTGCCGTGTTCAATCTTAGTTGCAGGTGGGCGTAGCCCACCATCCCATGCAGCTGTCGAACCGGCAACCTTGTTGTTAGGACCATGTGCTCTCACCAGCTGAGCCATCCTGCCATCTGTTGGCAGCTCAGTGGCAGCTCAGCTCGGGCACAGCTCACTGGCCCATGTGGGAATCGAACTGGCGACTCCGTTGCTCAGAGCTCGCGCTCTTAACCAACTGAGCTACTCGGCCTGCCCAGTTGTTGTGGCCTTCACTGCACAGGTGTAAGTGACTGGTTTAATCCAGTTGGGTATTTTGTATCCATTTGTTTCTTCATAGGGGTACATAATTACAGTGAGAAGGGGAAGCTTTGGGTGGAAAGGGGAGGTCTCTTGGGCACTTGCATTCTGTGGGTGATGTTGGATGTGCAGGAATGCAGAAACTCAATGCCTATCTCTAACTGCCTGCCTTGTTTTCTCCTAGAGAGACATGATCCCCGTGAAATCTCTATGGGAAGCTGAGGGACAGGAAGCCTTTTCTTCTGTATCTGCTTTCTGGTGGGCTGGAGTGTAGATGTGTCCCTGCCTATTGGGGGATTTATGAACTCTCGCCCTGGTTTTAAATGAGAAAAAGGGGTCTCGAGATCCGCCTGGAAGACCGTGTTGGCTTCTTTGGTTGGGACTGGTAATCTTGCTGGGGTATCATCTGTATCCCCAAGGCCCTTAAATGAAGAAAAATAAAATTTTAATTAATAAATTTAAGTGTTGGCTTAAAGAGCTTAAAGCTATTGATGCAAGGATGGAAAATCCGTCTGCTCTATGGAGTGTGTGGCCACTTAACCGGTTATTCAGGTGACATTAATTGTCCAGGATCTGAACCCGGAACGGGTTTGGAAAGAATATTAGGCTTCAATGATGACAATCAACAAGTATGAATCACAAATTTCAGGCAATTATGTAAAGCAGTGGGTAGGAGATTAAAAACCTGGGAAAAAGGAAACTTTAAGGAAAAGGAAACTTAAAATCAAAGTTTTTCAGGGGGGGGGGGCTACTCGCTTGTCCTGTATCAATGAGGCCCCACCAGAAGTGCCCCTGGACTTAAATCTGCACCCCACTCTCAACCCCACCTCAAGCAGTAACAGGCTGCTTAGAATACGTACGTAGCTGGGAGGGTCATCAGAGGTACAGAGAGGGGTGCTGCAGAAGACACTTTGGCCTTC